TTCGTCTGTGGTCTTCCGCAAGGATCAGTAATTCCTCTTGCAAACACAAACAAGCAGAAAGCGCTTGGACAATTGATAAAGCGAGCGCAGCTCTGAGGGCATCCATGATGTCGGCTAGTGTAAACACAGGTCGCACACGTGATGTCAGCATTTTTTGTCGCGGAAAGTGACGTTGCGGACCTTAAAACTCCGGTTTTGTCCGTCCACACGCAGACACCCAAAACGGAGAAAACGCAGATCTTCACTTTGGCCGGAGTTTTTAAAAAGATCCGTTTTTGTGTGAAAAAACTCCGTTTTCGTGTGGATGACAGGCCAAAACGTAGAAAAATATCTACGTTTTGGCAGATCCCCGGCTACGTGTGGACAGGGCCTGAGATGGCAGCGTGCTGAGAGTACAGATTGTTGTTGCTTTTATTTAGTAAACAATCATTTTAAAGCACTGTTATTATATCTGACTGTTTATAACAGCAATCCTAGTTCAGACACCACATCACCTTCCACATATATGTCATGAGCTCACTGAGCGTCACATGACCAGATTCATACTGAAGTTATTTTGGTGAAAGTAACTTAAAATAATGCAAAAGTAGTGTAATGCCTTGCATTTTAAAATCAGTAATATTGTAATGTAATCAATTACTTTAAAATGAGGGTAACAAGTAATAAATAATGCATTACAGTTTTGAAGTAACTTGCCCAACACTGGCTGCGAGTCCCTGCAGCAGGTACTTTGAGAGCCGACTGATTCCAACAGACCAAGCAGCACCTGGGAGCGTTCCTCTGCCACATCATCAGTGTTAACGTGCTCCATCATTTTCTACAACGACTTTCCTTTTGTTCGACCTGTTTGACTCCTCCTGCTCTGCGTTAGCCCCTCGTTTCCATCCTTCTCCTCGCACCGGGCTCTCATCCAGCCAGGGGCTTCTTTGTGTCTTCAGCTGTGCTTGGAGGACATTTACTGTTGAGGATTGGTTTTGTACTTTGTGAAGCTAAAGCAGACGTCTGCTGTTGCCTTCTGTATCCACCGATTTTCAGATTTGCAAACATGTGAAGACATTTATTTTGAAAATACATGCCTTCCTTCATGTTTTTAGGAAATGCTAAAATGCTTTTTGCTCCACCTTACGTGGTGAGAGTACGTGACGTTCCATCGTCCTCCGGGCTCACAAACACAGTTTTGAGCTACTTGGCTCGGCGAATCCTCCCAAGAACAGAGCAGTCGATGGCTGAGTCACTGAGGATGGAGCCAACGTGTGAACACACAACCACGCTACGCCACGCTAACACCCTGAGAATGCTGTGGGCTTCACGCAACGTGACTCAGAAGATCAAACGGGGTTCTTCTCATCAGGCCCACTCAGCTGAGCTCTGAAAGCTTCTACGTTTCATCTGCAGCTTCCTTCTTCTTCTTCTGTCCTCTGAGGAACGGCTCGCTTTAGGCCAATCCTCACAGTTTTCTAGTTCTGCTGTTTGGAGCAAAAATACAGAAAAAGCAGCATATCACCGTAGTTTGTGTTTTAGACACACTTCTCTCCAACGTGATGCGTGATTTACCCAGCATGCTTTTGGTCAGTGGGAGGAAACCCCCGCGTGCATAGGGACAACACGCCAAGTCCGCACGGAACGGTCTCAGCTGGAATTCAGTCCCACAACTTTCCTGCTGTGATGCCCCGGTTCTGCCAGCGGCACCGTCATGCAGCAGGTGAACGTTCATGTTTGTCCTGCAAACAGACTGAGAGCTTCATTTCTGGGGAACCCGTCATTAAAATGGAGTGAAATCATGTCCAGGACACGTTTTCTCTATTAAATGTGCAGAAAAGCACACAATGAAACTGAAACGGTCCCAAACAGGACCTGGACTAGAAAAGTCTGTTTAGTTGTTGGTCTTATAAAGTGAATTCAGTCCGTTTTTAGATGTTTTAAATATACGTTTCATTTCTTAACCATGTGTAGGGATCTCAGGATGTAACCCTTAAAAGCTTTTGGTTGCTTTAAAAAAACTTTTCCCCATTTCTTTTTTTATTTAGTTATCCTTGTCAGTAATTTTATTCTTTATATGTTATTATATTATTCTTTATGTTCAGCTTTATATGTATATTTATATATGTATATAAAATATAATTTTTTAAAATCCCTGTACTGCATGCGTGTACACACACAGGTGCTCTCACAAGTATTGACACGTACCCTAAGGCTGTGGTTGGCACTAAATACACTATGAATTTTTACCGTGTGCCTTTCAGCAAACATTGTTAGTGGTCTATATCCTAGCTACAGCTGAAGCTTCATTGCTCCACCCGTGAGAGTAAAACGGTGAAGCTTCGACACTCAGAGTAAATTATTCTGATTGCTTTCCAGCCGAACAGGACGGGGAGAAAAGTAGCTTGAGATAATTTTAGAGCCGACGATTTGCTTCTAACTCACCGTTAGCATTGTTAGCCCAACATTAGCCGCTAGCTCGCCTCACCTGATATGAGTAAAGCAAAAAGATGCAGTGGTTTCTCAGGGGAAGTAGAAATCTTTTCTGGGTCGCTCCTGTTAACTGGCTTTGGACCTTTAAACAACTCCAGTGTGGAGAACACATAAATGCATATCCTCACAACAGGGCTTGTGATCGGGATGTCATCACCGACGCGTTCGCCCTGTTGGAGGCGTGTGAGTCGTTACTTGTTGACTGTTACTGCTGTAAAGTTAAAGTTAAAAGTTAAAGTCCCATTAGTTGTCACACACACTGATGTGTGTGCGATCCCCTGGGGGAGCGGTGAACTGCAGACACGGCTGCGCTCGGGAACCATTTGGCGGTTTAACCCCCCAGTCCAACCCTTAATGCTGAGTGTCAAGCAGGGAGGCATTGGGTCCAATTTTTTTCTAAGTCTTTAGTATGACCCTTCCAGGAACTGAACCCTGATCTCCCAGTCTCAGGGCAGACTCTCTACCACTAGGCCACTGAGGTGGTAACAGCGCTCAGTCTCGTTCTGTCGGCTTAAATTAATCTGTTATTCAGTTGATCGGTTTTCTTACACAACTATAGTAAGTCGGTGTGTTGTGGGTGACACACGTGATCATCAGGAGAATAAAGGCGGAAAACAAGCTAAATTTTCACCGTTTTCCTGCTTAGAGGCAAAACCACGGAGACCAAGTAGCTAGCTTAACAAAGTCTCATCGGATCGCGGCTATGAGGCGACCAAAACCATCACCTTCCGGATTATTTTCATTCTGCTAAGTTACAGATGGTGTAGGTTTCTATACATCGTTTCTTTCCTTCAACTGCCACACACACACACACACACACACACACACACACACACACACACACACACACACACACACACACACACACACCAGTGAGCTAATGCAGGAGCGCTGACACCCATCACAACTTCTGCTACACTTGTTCTGTAGGATGATAATTTTGACTGTTTTACTAGAAAACCCAACAAATAAACGTTTACCTCTCATCCGGACGTTTACATCCGCTCACACCACAAACAAGAAAACTGAAAATGTCCATCATGCTGAACTGCAGCAGCAAGAATATGTCATCGGTGCTCCAGTCTTGGGTCATTCATGTGGATAAAAACCATTAATAACGCTGATTGTGTCCGCACACCGGTCCCCGACGTCTTTATTTAACGTATTCCTGTCTATGCTGCATCCTTTTGGGGATTTTATGTTATTTAACACTTTCATTCACACAAATCCGCTTCTTCTCTGGACAGAACCGTTTGTTTCACGTTTTATTTACGCTCGCCAACCTTCCAACGTGTCCGGGCACATCCCAGAATGCTGTGCGTAATCACGTGTGCTCACAAGCCCTATAGAAGGGCATGCTCTTATTGTGAAGGAGGTGAGTTTTGGCTGTTAAAGGTTGACTATGGAACACAGTCTGGTGAACTGTTCAGGGTGGTACTGCAACAACAGGACCAGTTTTCCAGCCACTGGGATGTTGGGTTACTGCTGACACGTCCAGCAGCACGATCAGACACAAGTCGTGCAGGATGAGGACTCGTTTCTACTAGAAGTTCATTTTACAACATTATTTACCGTTAGAACGTCGTCTGGGCTCAGAATCAGCTGTTTGACTTGTCAAGTCTGCCATTTTGCAGTCCCTTGCTGAGCGGACTTTTTAGCACGACAGTGCCCTCTAGTGGCTGGTAGATGTCAGCATAAACACAGCGTCGTGCCCGACAGACTAAAGATTTGATTATTTACCTTTTTAAATGTAGCTTTTAAAGGAGAAACGGTGCATCCATTCTGCCCGCGGAGGTATTATTAGTTTTTGAATATAGTTTTTTATTAAAATGCTTCATATTCTAACTTTAAGTCTACCTGAGGAGAGGAAGAGAGAGAGCTTTGCACTTCTCCTAGTTGGAAGTTCACCATTAAAAAGGTCGAGACAGCAAACACCTTTTCTCGTCTCTTTCTTGCCAATTTAGAGCTTTTTTCCTGCTGGTGTCCAGTTACAAACGCCGGTGCTGCAGCGTTAGCTCTGAGCTGATAAACTGATATAAACGGTGACGAAGTCCAAATGACTTTGTTAGCCTTTCACAACGTTACAACAACAACAACAACAATAATAACACTCATATACAATTGTTGTTTCTATTGTTTTAAATGAACAAAAATGCTTTTTTTCCCTTGATATGAAAAATAAAGGCTTAAATGTGCATTAACATGGAGAAATGGCAGCACCTGAGGCAGGTACTTCACTCTGAGTGTTGTTGGTGATAACTACAGGTATTACTTATTAGGAAACTTGCTACTCTGAGGTATTTCAGCGATCACGCTGCGGATTCTGAGTAAATCTATAAAAACTGGTGTTTTAATCCTCAGGTTCACTAAAGCGTCTAATGTTTTAAAGAACCCCAGCGACTGAAGCAGGCGTCAGAGATTTAAACCGCTCCATCACATTCAGACACGAGGCATGAGAGGATCTGACGGACCTCCTCAGCTCGGCTCTGCATGACAAAGAGCTGAGAGTCAGAACGTAAAAAGCTTCG